AGTTTCGATTTGTCGGCATGCGGTCATTCGAAGGGCTGTTTCATACCTTCTGATCCGGAATGTTACCAAGGGTGCAATGGAATGAGATTCTCATGGCTTCAGCTCGACAACGACCTCATGCAGATCGAACTGGCCGTCGATACCGCAAACACCACTGACGGTTTCTACGTGGCTGTGGGATTTTCCGAGGATGATCTCATGGTACGCTGTGCAATTTTCGGAAGAGATCTGTAAAATTTATCGGAAGTAGCGCTTGTTTTAACTCTGTTTGGCCTTGTGGTCTATATTTCACGCCAAACTGGGAGCTAAACTTCTTGATAATGAGCTACACAAAATTCCAGGGTGACGATAGTGTTATTGAATGTTCGATGTTGGGTGACGACTCGCTATCGCTGAAATTATCCTACAACATCAATTCCACTACTGATCCCACAACGAACGGTGAACCAACGAATCGGAGGCTGTCAGAAACGGTGAGTGAACGTCATAGTTGAACCCACCGCTTGCCTGATTCAAACTAAAGGTTGACCAGTCCATCTTGTTTCGCTTACTTTTCCCTTCTAACCCCATGCCCAACAGACTAAAATGGTGTGTGGCAAGTGACGCTGCCTTAGCCCACGCACCAGCTTCGAGCCGACCAAATCCTGGGTCGTGAGTCGCCCTGGCCAACCAAGCCTTCCATCCCCCCGGGGTCGGTTAATTGGTACCAGACTTGTCTGGGAGGATAAAAACACTGACTTGTACATCGGCTGGCCCCCGCAAGTCATTGTATAGGCCACATCGCATTCAAATGCCACTACGAATGTACAAATGGAAGTAGAATGCGTGCCGCATCCCAAAAAGGATTGATTGATCAAATGCTGCATTCTTTATGCTTTATTCATCACAGCTGCTTACACCAAGTTCAGTGTAGTGTATTTTTTACCTGAATCTCTGCTTTCAATTGGGCCCCAAGCCAGGTCGACAATTTGCTGGGATCTTCTCAACAAAGGGCCGTTTCGGGCCTTCCTGATGGGAGGGTCGTATTCGAAATTTCGGCAGTTCCGTGCTCCCGTCCCAATACAAATTTCGAAGGAGTCTCGTGGTACCAACAGGAGGCCCGTCAAGGACAGAGTCGCGGACGGACCAAGGACGAGTCACAGCGCGTATTGTGCGATGTAGGACGTACGATGAAATTTCCCATTCAACTTGTCGGTAAGTCGCTACCATTGCACGCTGCGACTCGTCCACTGACATGTCTGCGTCTGCCTTTCAACTAAAGAGCGGGTCCTTACGTTGTGCTAGAAGGCTCACCCTCGGGCTGGTTCCCGAATTTTAAGTGAAAACTAGAGTATTACGGGGGGCAAACACAAACCTCACCGAGATTATCAAATAATGGAGAGGCTCGTATAGGAAAAAACCCTTAAGCTGGGGGTTAGGAGGACCCATGAAAAATTCAAAATGGTACAGCGTGACGATCGACCGGCTTGAAAGTTTGAACAGCTTGGATTCCAGGTACCTGGAGTTGCAAGTCCGTTCCCAAACTAATGCTGGGTCTCGAGTAAGCCAGTCCTCTTCCCCCTCAAAGTGCTCTGTGCGCTTCACTAAGCGCATAGTCCCTGTACAGCAAACTGTTTGGTAGACTTTTCCGCCATTTTCGACAAGAATGGCAATAGCAAAGGTAGCCTCACAGCGAGCTTGGTAACCCCAACGGATTCAGTAATAAGTCGACTCATGTAAGCGTGTGTCCTCCAAGAAGGCCTTCAGCATACGATTGATTCAGGACCTTCACCCCGAACAACACCCCCTCTCCCGCCCTTCGTCGTCTCACTATCGAATACACTGCAGAGTTTTACCATTAATTTATTTGTTGTCTACCAGATTTTATCAAGTCATATTACAGGGCTCGGAATTTTTCCTGAACTCTAGCACAAGCAGCACAGATGGTCATGTGTACTGCAAAGCAGTACTGAATGTGACAGGCGCCTCTAAAGCTGGTCTATTTCATTTTGACTTCACTCAATCGTACTATTTTCTTATGGCTAATGGACCTACAACTTCTAGCGTAAGGGGTATTATAAGTTTTTCGGAAGCTTTTTTCAATAAGTATTAATCATTAAGAAATGATGTATTTGCGAACATTTTTTGCTAACAAATTTTCTTCAAAAGTTATTGAAAAGCTGCCGATTAGCTGTAAACATCATTTGAACACTAAAATCTGCGAGACCACGGAGAATTCATTAGCGTATGCGACTTCAAATTAACTTTTAAATAGTGATAAGGATCAATTTTTAATTTTTTTGAGCAATGGAACTTTTTGAACACCTCTCTTTGTGAACTATTAAAATGGTGTTAGTGAACTTGGCTGGATTTGAAGCAATCATATTGCAGGGCTCCAACATCACGTTCATGATGTCACGTCTGCGAAACCACTAAAACCGTCCGATGTACGTTTCCGGAACAGTACCGTATTATTTTGCCTTTGTCCATTGTCAGGAAAGTCTACAAAAAGGATACTCCATTTTACAGATAGTTCCCGGATTCGATATGGACCCATGCGGGCTTCAGAAAGGCTGCTTCTTACCCCTGACCACTAACCATACAATAAATGGGCTAGCAGTCTCATACAGGTAACACAATGCAGTAATATTAATATTTTTTTACCATTTTGACATAAATAACTACTATTATAACTTAGTATTCTTATAACTGCGATAAAAAATCAAGATTCTCTTGAAGGAACTACGCTTACCACAGCCCTGGAAAAGCCTAGTTCTTGGGATAGTCTCGGTGTTTTCCCAAAAAATAGCCAGAGTGGAAAACTCCTTTTGAGTTTCGAGAATGAGTAAAATATTTTTCGGGAAAATCAAGTTGGTTAAGTTGGTTTATACTTAGGCTATCCCTAATCATCACGTAAGCAAAATATGCACCACAATGTCTCCTCGATTCGAGAGGAAGTCGAACGTATGGCGCATTCCGGAGTGAGAAGGACCAATATGACCAATACAGCCTTTCATTTACCAATAGCATATTAATATGTGGTAAAAATATCACTACGGTAATTCTGGTTTAAAAGTTTAAAAGTTCCGTTTTAGAGTGCTGAACTCGTCCTTCATCGTCTTCGAACTTTTGGCTCCTTCCAACGGTGATGTCGACGTCTACGTGGCCGTCTCATTTTCTACCAACGCCAGATACGTCAGTAATATATTTTCGTGTTCTCAGAAAAAAATCGCAATAACATCAGTGAATAAGCAACGAGCGGATTGGGTTACTAGGAAATAACCGCGTATTTCTGAAAACCCTGTCAGGCGTTTTTTTCTCGAGATGGGTGAATAGTCTGGAACTTTGTGGAGAGCCAGCAAACGTTGAGTACCACTTCGTAAACTATTTTCAGCTCTTGCAAATCACTCTTTGGCAGTGAATAGTGTTTCCAAGCCATTATGACTTGTAATGGAGGTTGGATGGTGGATGCACCCTAGACAGATTGACCAGCGCAACATATGGCCCTAAAGACGAAGTTCACGCTAAAAAGGCAGGCCTTCAGAAACCAAAGTAGCGCCCAACAACTGCCGTGACCGCTGCGATCGCTGCAGCTTTTCCTCGTTCGCAACATACACCGTGTCTGTGCCCTCTTGTACGACGTGCTGTCTCACGCATTAACTGCCCTCGCCACGCTGTGTCTCTTCGTTGTATCGCGGCCCACTTCGTGAAAAGGAGGTCCTCAGCTTCAATGTTTCGGGTGGTTCCTTTTGCTTCTTGGACTCCTTTACAACTCTTGCTTAGTTTTCGAGCAGAATAACATATTAATCTGGTCGCGTTCTGTGCCTTTAGGAACGCAGAAACGCTGGACCTCATCCTGAGCTTTAACCATAAGTTTCTGCAGACAAGTAACCGAATGGAAACTGCGTGTTTTCAGCGTAATATGTCGACAATTGAATGTTCTTCACTAGTCAATGGGACGTTGTCGATGAAGTTCTCGTACAGTTACGACTCCACAACAAACGTCCGCATTCCAGGCGAAGAGGTATGTAAACGTTCCATAGACCAGTTGATTGTCTACGAAGCGATGTGGAGAGGAAGTCTCACCTCAGACACAAAACTGAACAGTACCGGATCAGTAGGACGAAATAGTCAAGTGAAGGCGGATGCACGGCGTATCTTAGATGGCTCAGCAAATGTACATGTGTTACGGCCACCTTTCAGGCAATTCGCGATCAGTACTTCACAAACGAAACAGCGGTCTTCCAAGATGGGCAGGTGTACTGTTCAGCGGTGGTGAATGTGCAAGGATCGTCCGTGAGCGACAAGGTAATCCTGCCTTTTCTTCTAGCATGCCTTAATAAGTCCCTGTTCTGTTAAGGTCAAGAGATAATGTAGAAACTTGAAGATGCTCCTTACAGTTGATTGTTTCTAGATTTTCACCTACAAACCTGGCCAAGAATATTTTCTTCTTCTTAGCACCGGTACGACTACTCTTGACGGTACGTGTGAAATCTAATTACCATTGGCATCTACCTTATTCGAAGCCACCTCTTTATAGAGCTCACATCTCCGTCCGATGCTGTTGGGTCAATCTATTCCACCAAGCTGGAGCAATATGAGGTTCCCACTAGCTTTTTAAATTTTCTGACCACTCGAGAAGTAAGGTTTTTTGAAAGTTGTTGAAGCAGCAGCTAGAGGGGCAGTTTTGCTTTTATTAAACCTGGTTCTATTGACCGCAATTATATTCTCAAATTTCTGAGCCCGTCGAATTGCTGCTTTGGGTAGGTGTTAGACTTCGCGACTGTAAACGCGAGTGGGTCGGAGCGCAATCCTGGAGCGATACCGGAATCACGAGCGGGGCGCATCGTCATTGATTAGCACCATTTGGGTTGGACGCTCCTGACCAGGATCAACCGTGACGTTCGCACTTTTTCAGAAATTTCGCGACCCCCTCCTTTAGGGGGTCTCCATGCGACCCCCCCCACCACCACCATGAGACTCAGGAGGTCCCCAATACGACCACCCTTCTCCCCACCCCGACCACGCCAAAACGGCTGTTTCTATAGTATTTGATTCTGAGACCAGTCGACACAGCCCAACTCCGCCCACTTTCCCTCCAACTACACCAAATACGCGTCGACCGGGGGTTGGGGGTGGGAGCTGGGAAGGGCAAATTAGACAAAACGAAGGGGCAAGTTCTCTCTTCACCTCACCTCACGCTCTCACATCCACAAAATACCCCCAAAAACAAATCTAACCAATCTAAGTCGCCTCGCCATCCACCCAACCCATTAACATTTACCAACCAATAAAACCCTCATGAATGCGACCCTCTTTCCCAAAATCAAACACAAATGCGACCCCCTCGTCGAATAGTGCGCACGGACGATTGACCCTGCTCCTAGCTACTCGCGATTGTGGCCCACCAGAACCGCGCCCCGCCCACACGCGATTACAATCGTCAAGTCTAGCATCTGTCTAAATGTAAAAAAAAGGACATGGACGGACAACGATGGCATGCCGGCAACATAAGCACAATTCGGGGACCGAGTTTCGCGTAAAGAAGCAACCCTTTCGGTTGTTGTGTACCATACATCATCTGGGAGAGCTTCTACCCTATGGAGCTATTATTAAAGCCAAATCGCGCCACGAATTTGACCAGGATTCATATTCAAAATAGAAAGGTAAATAGAATGTGGGACAAACATAAGCAGAAAGATTAAGAATAGTTATAAAGACTATTGTCCCATCTGTAAAATGGACGTACCATCAATTATAAAAAACTACCCGTCATTTCTTGCGCTAATCGCAATATAGAAGTCAGTGCCTAAAGACTAACCCTAGCGGCAGAAAAAATCCGGGAAAAATAAATGGCTCACGCACCTTGGAGTTATTCCTTCTCTGCCTAGAGCTGAGCTTCCCAATTTCAAAACAAGGAGATTTACAGTTTCAAATGAAATGCCATCATAATGCCCCTGTATCTTGCGATAGCGCCATTTTTCTCAAAGACGCGGTACGGAGATAAATCTCGACTTCCGCAAACAATCGCTGATCAATTTCCTGATCTCTATACACAAGATGAAAACGCCATCTCTGCGACCGAAGAAAACGGTGCCTCTAGCAGCTGAACCAAGTGTGCCGCAAAAAAGCAACGTTTTTTTACCAAGCCAGACAGATAGTGAGAGATAAACTGAGATAAAATCGATTGATTGATGCCATACCCAGGAGTATTTCGATTCAAGTTCGTGTGGAATCGATAAGGAATGTGTTCTACCGACAGAGTGCTATCGTGGAGCTAGTGGAATGGAGTTTTCATACAAGGTACATCTTACCAGGTGATGGAATTGACTCCAATCATAACTCTGAGATTCAAAACGCTTACAAAAAAAGCATGTGATAAAAGGGAATTTGTAATTTTTCACTGCGAGACTCACTCCGAACGAGGCGAAGAAGAAGAATCACGTCATTTGCGCTCATTAGAAAATCGCCATTTACAGATGATGTCGGACTCACTGATGAGAATTGAGCTATTTTCCATCGCCACCGACAACAATCAGTACGTCGCTGTTGGTTTTTCAGATGATGACCACATGGTGAGTTGGTTATTGATAGAACTCCATGTAAAATCGCTTATTCTTATCCGCGTTTTCCTACGAGTTCTTCACAATTCATTTATGAGCTTTAGAGGAAAAAAAAGGTGGCACTAGATGAATTCGTGGTGCGAAGATGTTTGGCTATGGCGGTTGCGTCACCACAAACCAGGAGCGATAAGTTTGATGTCGAATCCCTTCTCACGACACCCGGTTAAAGAAATAGGTCAAACTGCGTTATTGTGGGCCGGGCACATACTGAAGGGTGCAGGTCCCTCACAAAAGCTCTTTTATTCGGGCCAAGAGACAGTTCACATCGCGGCGAGGATCATTCACGATTACTGTCAACCGGAAAAAATAGGCGAGGTTGAGAGGGAATGGTCTAAAGGTAGTGAGTGGCGAGACGTGCCGCCAAATCAGGCGCCTTTCCACCAGAGCATATATGTATCCGTTTCGAAGGCAGTCGCAGAGACTGGGAAATGATGCGTACATAGCTAAGAAAGGAGGAAGGTCTGGGTGGTAAATGGTTCACTGTGGGGAGAGGACGGAGAATTCAATTCGGTCTAAACAAAAATAATTCTGTCTGTCTGTCTGTCTGTCTGTCTGTCTGTCTGTCTGTCTGTCTGTCTGTCTGTCTGTCTGTCTGTCTGTCTGTCTGTCTGTCTGTCTGTCTGTCTGTCTGTCTGTCTGTCTGTCTGTCTGTCTGTCTGTCTGTCTGTCTGTCTGTCTGTCTGTCTGTCTGTCTGTCTGTCTGTCTGTCTGTCTGTCTGTCTGTCTGTCTGTCTGTCTGTCTGTCTGTCTCGTCTGTCTGTCTGTCTGTCTGTCTGTCTGTCTGTCTGTCTGTCTGTCTGTCTGTCTGTCTGTCTGTCTGTCTGTCTGTCTGTCTGTCTGTCTGTCTGTCTGTCTGTCTGTTCTGTATGTCTGTCACGAAATTCCCTAGCTCCTCGGGATCCGCCTGGAGGGACCGGGTCAAGTGTGGGATGGGTGGGCAAGGTCTCACGTAATACAAAACACACATCAGCTAAGCGGAGCCCCGCCCACAGAGGGCGTGGCGTGCGTCGAAATGAATTGTACCGAAGACCAAGATTTCGATTTCAGTGACAAAACGACCTCGAAACTGGGCCAAAAAGTGGGTTAAGGTGTGCATTGGTAAGTCACATCGAATTAGGGAGACCCACCCCCGGTGGGCGGGGCGTTCTCTAAAAAAGCAGTGCTTTATGAAAAATTTCATAACTCGGTTGGGAGAAAGCCTACAGAGCAGAAAACAATTTGGTGTAAGGGAGCAATGTCTAAGGTGTTTCCTGCATACATGACGTGGGCGGAGGCCCGCCCAGAATGGGCGGGGCGCGCTCTGAAGTGTACAGCATTTTCTACAAGCCCTCATAATTCGGGTCGGGGAAGTCTTAAAGAGCCGGAAAAAGGTGGATAGAGGTGTATGGAGTGGAGGCCAGCTGTCAATGGTGGGCGGGCTTGACCAAAGTGGGCGGAGTTTGCGACGAAAATTCATACCCCCGGGCTCCATGAAGCCCGGAGGCCGGGAAAAAAGGTGGATGAGGTGGGTGGGGGAGTGAAGGCCAGCTGTCATCGGTGGGCGGGGCTTGACCAAAGTGGGCGGAGTTTGCGACGAAAATATAAAACTCGGCTCCAACAAGAAGTCCCGGAGGCCGGAAAAAAGGGGGATAGAGGTAGGTGGGTGGGGGAGTGGAAGGTCAGACTGTCATCAGTGGGCGGGGCTTGGCCAAAGTGGGCGGAGTCTGACGGGAGATATAAAAATCCGGACTCCCAAGTAACGTCCTGGAGCCGGAAAAAGGTGGGTTAGAGGTGTGGAGGAGTGGAGGCCAGCTGTCAATGGTGGGCGGGGCTTGACCAAAGTGGGCGGAGTTTGCGACGAAAATTCATAACTCGGCTCCAAGAAGTCCGGAGGCCGGGGAAAAGGTGGATGGAGGTGGGTGGAGGAGTGGAGGCCAGCTGTCATCGGTGGGCGGGGCTTGACCAAAGTGGGCGGAGTTTGCGACGAAAATTCATAACTCGGCTCCAAGAAGTCCCGGAGGCCGGGAAAAAGGTGGATGGAGGTGGGTGGAGGAGTGGAGGCCAGCTGTCAATGGTGGGCGGGGCTTGACCAAAGTGGGGCGGAGTCTGCGACGAAAATATAAAACTCGGCTCCAACAAGTCCCGGAGGCCGGGAGAAAGGGAGTAGAGGCCGGCAAAGGAAAGGAGGTCAACTGCTATTGGTGGGCGGGGCACGCACCGAAGTAGGCGGAGTTTGCCACGAGATTTATTGTCCGGAAGCAGTCCGGAGACCGAGAAAAAGAGGATAATGGTTGACGAAGAAAAAAAGGTTGAAAGCCGTCGATGATGGAGCGGATTGAATTTAGCTGAGGATTCAGATATTCGTAGTGTATCAAGCCAAATATGAAAATTTTTGTCGCACCATCAAAGTTCGCAGCAGATCTGTGTTGCGCGCGCAATGCGTGCGGCGCCAAACTGGTGCAAATAATAAAAGGATAAAGCATTTGCCGTTGATCAATCCCTTTTTGGGATGCGGCACGCATTCTACTTCCATTTGTACATTCGCAGTGGCGTTTGAATGCGATGTGGCCTATACAATGACTTGCGGGGGCCAGCCGATGTACAAGTCAGTGTTTTTTATCCTCCCAGACAAGTCTGGTACCAAAACCGACCCCGGAGGGATGGAAGGCTTGGTTGGCCCGGGCGACTCACGACCCAGGATTTGATCCCCGGACCGCTCGCGTGGTAAGCGCGCCACTTGTCACTACACCCACTTCCGCCCATTATTATTTATTATCCCATTAAGAAAGACAAATTGACCTGTCAAGCACCAGCTCAAAAATTCTGCGAGAATGATAAAGGGCAGTATCTTTATAACATAATACCAGAGCTTTTCAGGGTAACGACCATGTGATTCGAATGCTCAGCTCTGACAAATCAGAAGTACAGCTTAAAGTTCTCCTACAATGACGCCACACCAGCAAATGTTCGCATTTCTGGTGAAGAGGTAATGAACCGTTGTTTAGGTTTGAGGCCACAATCACAAACATCGTTTCTTTGCGCCAACCAAAATCCCTGTCACGAATTGGAAGCGTATGTCATAGGCGATGTTTTACCAATGCATTTATCAGAATTTGCATCGAACCACATCGCAGAGCGCGGGGACTTGAGGTCTGTGGTATAGTGTGAGACGCAGAAGGGGTAGGTTGTCGACTATGCTCTGTAAGAAGTGGAAAAGCTCAGAAAACGCGTAGCATGTTAGAGAAAAGAGTTCAGTAGAAGATAAACGGAAAGCCAGGAGAATAAACAAGAGTGGCTTCTTCAAGAGCCATGAGGGACACAAACGAAGGGAAAAATAAATGTGACTAGCAAAAAGCCATGAAAAAATTGTAGAATTACAAAAGTCAAAGAAAGCTAGTGACGCCCATGAAAAAAATTGATTCGCATGAGGGTCCCACACCATGACGACCCAATTACTCTTCGTTCTCAGAGTCTCGGGTCGAGATTAGATTGCGAGAAGGCCCCTTCCAGAGTGAGGAAGGGGGGAGGGTTCATAAGGCAGAAAGTGCGAGGCAACGGCAATAAGGCTTTGCTTTGTGTGCTGCCAAGCCGCGTCCTTATCAATCGCGGCACATGTGGCGTCTTCACCCTCTCGCGTACGATGTACTATCTCGTCTATCTTTTCCCTCTCCTCTCAGCGCAGTGTCTCTCCCTCACCTCACAAGGGAACTTCAATGTTTTCTTTGGCGCGTTTTGCTTTTCCTTCTCAACAACGTTCCTCATTGCACATCTTGTCTAAGTCTGTCTAAGATTCAAACGAAATAGCACAAAAGTTTGATCTCGACCCGTGCCTTTAAGATCGCCTTCAAGTTTTGCAGGGAACCTTGGGTGCTCAACTACAGCAGAGCACTTCAAAATAAAAATTTCCGACCAGCATTATGAGCCTGACGACAAAGCCTTTTATGTGCGCTGAGGGAGCTATGTCATCGGGAACGCTGTCGGTCGATTCACTAGGTCTAGCTTAACAGACTGAATATCGCCAATCCCATCATTGAGAGCCGAAAACAAGTCTCAATCATTTTTAAATCGATTTCTAAACCATACGAGTCTATTAAACTCACAGATTGAACTGTACGATGAACTAGAACTCTCTTTAGGTTTGAAACAACACTAGCTTTTCAGAATATGCGGTCAGGTTACTTTCTCAACAACATGGCCATGTCTTCCGATGCTCAGCTTTACTGTACCGCTATGGTCAACGTGTCTGGTTGGAGTGGAAGCGATAGGGTCAGTCACAGCTGCTTCGAAGTGGAATTTTCTACCAGAGAGAGAGTTGATCATAGTCTAGAGGCGCCGCGCAACTTTTCAGCGATCACAACGCCTCGAGGTTACTCAGCCTTTTAGGGCGGTCGGTGTTATTAGGCTCGCAAAAGAGTAGAGGAAAGCGGAGTTATGCGTCGCGTAGGCCTAATAAGTCGCCTCATGAAGCAGTTACGCCTTCACAGCTCTACAGATCCTCATACGAACTAATTGCGTGGCGTATCCTGCTTGTGTGCCGTTTAAGTTCTTTACTCCTACAATAATTTCCTAGAATTTCTGTATTTTTAGTCAGCAACAAATGAGACACTAAAGGAGTAGGGTACGGTAAAGAACTAGAACCGTAGGGTATGAACGCTTTTCCCTGGTTCTTCCACTCGCTCGACTTCGTTGCGAAATGGTGAAGGCTTTCGCCCCTACAGTAACTTGCCGATCACCCAACTATCATTACCAGGTTTTCAAGGACTAAACCGAGATTTCCTGCGCAATCGCAATATACAGGGCATTCTTCTAGGACTGAGCTAAGGAAGGGCAGGAATTCCGGAGAAAATGAAAATGACTCCGTATCCTGGAGTCTGTCTACCCCCGTCTGAGGCTTAGTCCCGTTTTACAAAAAGGACATGTTTTACATCGTGTGGTAAATCCATTGCCACCACAATGCCCCCGTATCTTGCGATAGCGCCAAATTCACTTCATGATACACGCTGGTGCCATGCGGCATTCTGGAACATTGTCCCACACACTCTCAACATAACATTGGTAGACGAAACACTAGTGTCTAGGCTCAGGTTGGTTCATACTAAGGCCGATGTCAGACTTTGCGGAT